AGCTTTCTAATCTTCTCTATTTCAAGTGTCCTGATCTTTCCTTACTGCAATTTTATCTCTACATTTGCATTGAATATGAGGAACTTTAAATTGTTCTAGCCTTGCATTTGATATATCTCCTGTTTAGACGTAACGATTCGAATCTGTGCAACTTCTGAGATTCTAACCTTTCAATACCGAGCGGCCTATAAGTCTTTGTTGGAAACTCCAATTTATTCAAAACTGATTTCATTGGAAACTAGACTCATAGATCTTTCTTTTGATATATGGATTGAAAGATTTGGAGTCCAAACACCTGCCCAGTTATCTATTGAATCTGACCTTATGAATTGTGCCAAACAGAGATTTTGTTCTACGACCCTTGTTAACCAAATTATTTGTAACTCTCTCTGTTGGATAGTTCAATTCATACGAAGCTTATTTTATCTGGAAGTAGATTGAAATATCTTTCCAATGATATATTTCTGAGTAAATTGGAGCACGATTGATAGTTTGAATTATTTGTTCAATGTGCCTCCTGAATTCTACCAGAAATCGAGCTTTAGTCGATTTCGCATATTCTGGTTTCATTCCTTTGGAAATTGATTTCATCTAACCTTCTTATTTGAATTGAGCTATATGTGATTGCTTGGAATCCTTGTATACTCTTGCTTTCATTTCCTTTCAAATCTGAATACATTTGTAAAGGATTATGTTTGCATCGTATTGACTCATAAAGGCACATGTACATTTCATTATTCCGCATGTGCTTCCGATATGTCCCAATTTATTATTCATAATATCCTTTTGTTCTCTGGTGTTTGTGGGATTATTTGGACCTTTGCCAGAAATGATAAAGGGTATGTGCTTAGAGCTCACGATGCTCTAGATTATGTTTGGTGGTCATTTAGAAATGGATGGACCATATTATGTTTGGAATCCCACTTCACCATCTATCTGTTTGATATGAAATTTAGAGCCGACCTAGAACTTGTGCAGGGTGAGAGGGCTCGAGTAGGAAAGGGCTACCCATGGATAGAGTCGAGAACTCATCACGGCGTGGAGCCACCACTAAGTTAAACCTCACATGCACTATGCTAGGGTACGACGTCTGAGCTTCTGTTTCGTATTTTGTATTGATATGGTCCAAAATGTTTCCTATGCCATTGATATACTTCAAAATGCTTCACATATCATTGATATGTTCCGAAATGTTCCATTTATCATTGATATGATCCGGAACATTTTATACGCTATTGGTATGCTCCGATTACTCTGTGCTCCATTTGCTATAAACTGATATATTCTGAAATGTCCTATTTGCCATTGATATGCTCCGGCACATCTCGTACGCTATTGATATGCTCCAATTATTCTATGCTCCATTTGCTATGAACTGATATGTTCTGAAATGTCCTATTTGCAATTGATATACTCCGGAACATCTCGTACGCTGTTGATATATTCCAATTACTCTATGCTCCATTTGTTATGAACCAAATATGTTATGAATGAAATGACATTTGCGATTCTGTATCTAATGAGATGATATCCTTGAATCTCTTGGATTTTGTCTTGTATTGTGATATCTTGTTTGTTTGAAACTGTCCTTTCTCATGCTAGATATGCTTTGTCACTTGCTGAGCTGTTTTTAGCTCACTCCGTTGTTATATAAAATCTTTCAGGTCAGCTTGTCACTCTTTGAGATGTTTGAATTGGACTGAGGTAGTGGATAGCTATTCAGAATTATGGGCAAGTCTTGTTGGTTATTATGTTATAGTTGTATAAGCATATTTTGTATGTAATGAAATGTTGTCGATGAATCGAAATGGATATACTGTGTAAAAGTGTTAGAAGATCTCTCTTATTTGGAATTTCGGAATATTAAGTCTAGTTTACGATGATATGAACTTATGGTAAATGGTTGGAGTTATAATTATATAAATTATTTAGCTTGTGGATTTATAAATGTTGTTCATGTTTGTCAAGTTGGCTTGGGTTGCCATAAATGTGAATTATCGAGTGATGTGATATATGATTATAAAATGCATAGGTTTTATAGATGTGAATTTGATAGAATATTTTTCAGTGTCCTCAAATTTTAGTTTGGATCCTAGATTAGTTTGTGATGAAAATTTTTAATATTATCGATATTTTTGAGGGGCGTGACAGAGGTAGTATCAGAGCATAATTTGAGGATCACTAAAATATTTGATATGTTGACGTGCAAAATATATTGAGGTCTAGTGAACTATAGTGATTGGTGAAAATTTTCTTTGATGCATTTTAGGAGTCTAGGATGACGAGGACATTTAGTCCTCCTACTTCATCTGGTTTTGATTAATTAAATGGGATGAAAGGGGTAATCGGGGATATTGAATCAGAGTGGCGCAGCAGAAGCATGGTGCACCTAATCCATTGGTGGTAGAAAAATGGATGATGCTCGCCGGGCTCGTCCCGACAACACCCCGAATGTCAGTTCGCCCTCGGGCGGGACGACCGAGGGGATGAACTACCAACCCCGGCGCGGATAGCGCCAAGGAACACGAACATCGAAGTCGGAGGGCCTCGCTGCATGTAGGAGGCTACAATTCTGACGGTGACCCAATTGGACGACTCTCGGCAACGGATATCTCGGCTCTCGCATCGATGAAGAACGTAGCGAAATGCGATACCTGGTATGAATTGCATAATCCCGTGAACCATCGAGTCTTTGAACGCAAGTTGCGCCCGAGGCCATCCGGCTAAGGGCACACCTACCTGGGCGTCACGCTTTCGATGCTTCATCGTTGCCCCCTCGGGGGATGGGGGCGAACGTGGAGGATGGCCCCTCGTGCCGGAAGGTGCGGTTGGCCGAAGAGCGGGCCATCAGTGGTTGTCGAACACGACGCGTGGTGGATGCCTTGTGCGAGCCGTACGTCATGCCTTCGGGACCCGGGCGAGGCCTCGAGGACCCAAGTCGTGGTGCGAGTCGATGCCACGGACCGCGTCCCCAGGTTAGGTGGGGCTACCCGTTGAGTTTAAGCATATAAATAAGCGGAGGAGAAGAAACTTACGAGGATTCCCTTAGTAACGGCGAGCGAACCGGGATCAGCCCACCTTGAGAATCGGGCGACTGCGTCGTCTGAATTGTAGTATGGAGAAGCGTCCTCAACGACAGACCAGGCCCAAGTCCCCTGGAAAGGGGCGCCGGGGAGGGTGAGAGCCCCGTCCGGCTCGGACCCTATCGCACCACGAGGCGCTGTCGACGAGTCGGGTTGTTTGGGAATGCAGCCCCAATCGGGCGGTAAATTCCATCTAAGGCTAAATATGGGCAAGATACCGATAGCGAACAAGTACCGCGAGGGAAAAGATGAAAAGGACTTTGAAAAGAGAGTCAAAGAGTGCTTGAAATTGCAGGGAGGGAAGCGGATGGGGGCCGGCGATGCACCTCGGTCGGATGCGGAACGGCGGTTAGCCGGTCCGCCGCTCGGCTCGGGGGGCGGATCGATGCGGGCTACATCGACGGCTGAAGCCCGGACGGATCGTTCGTTCGAGGGGATACCGTCGATGTGGTCGAGGACATGACTCGCACCATCGGCATGCCCCGCGGGGTACACGCGCGACCTAGGCATCGGCCAGTGGGCTCCCCATCCGACCCGTCTTGAAACACGGACCAAGG